GAGTTAAACAGTGAATGAAAAAATGGATATAGCAAGCATTAGTCACTTTTCAACAAGTTGCTGGCTAGAGGAAAAATAAAACTGGAGGGCCAAGAGAAGCTTAGAATTGTTTAACATGGGAGGAAGTTGAATAAATTGTATTGGTGAGAAAATAAAACTGAAAGGGAGACATGAAGACCACAGAAGGAAGAGAGATGATCTCTGAGAAGGTGGAGAAGGAAGAAATTAGAACATCACTATTATGAAAAGGGCTCTTCTTTCATTGTCGCAGGAAGGAAAGAGAAAGACTGGGTACAGAATCAGATAAAACAACAGATATGAAGATAACAAATTAAATGGGCTGGGGATTTAGCTCAATGGTTCTGCCACTGTTTTGCAAGCATATGAGGTCTTAAGTTCGATCCCCGGTACCAGAAAAAAAGAAATTAAGTGAGATGTAATCCAAGTGATTTTAGTTTGTGAAATAGAATATGAATTTATCTGCTGGGAAAAAGAGGGTAGGTACAGAATATGTGGGACACTGGTGCAGGAGAGAATGAGAACAAGGATGATGAGAAATGCCCTAGCATACTTGGCCAGCATCAACCCCCACCAAAAGGTGGTGATCATGAATTTAAAGGGAATCAATTATTTGATTTTCACCAGCAGGATCCTGAGAACTAGGTTTGGGACAACAAGGCAGCCACAACAGTGCAACTAGACACTCATGAAAATGTTCTTCCAGAATTGCTTCAGGAAGTGGCAGGAATCATGGGACAAGTGTGTTAGAAGTGAACAGATATATTTCAGGGAGATTAATGGCAATTTCTCTTTTTTATAATAAAATGTTTCAAATTTAAACATTGACCATATTTCTTGATCATTCTTCATAAGTATATTGGGGGTAAGTGTTAAAGAAATACTTTTAAAATACTTGCTCTTAAAATGTTTTGGCCATGATTTGGTTTTTGGTTGACTGTGACTTACTAATAGTCATACAGAGAAGGTGATAGGGGAAATAACAAGAAATTTGATGCCTAAGCAGTAAGAATAACAAAAGCTGTACATATTGTGGCTGTATAAAACACCCAGTGAATAACAAAAGTCTGTCTTAAACTTCACAGTTTGCTTAGTGATAGAGAAAAAAGCCAAATTATTAAAGCTAAATATAGGTTTAGCATCTTCTTGGGATGCTCCCCAAACTTACACACAGTGTGTGAACTCTTAAGACTCCAAAATAAGTCTTTCTGGCTCAAATAGCTCTCTCTGCCTGTTAACTAGCCATGTAACTTTGGATAAGTTTTTTAAGCACTCTGAACTTTAGCTTACTATGTTTACTGTTAGGATACTATTAGTACCTAAATCAAAGAATCAATGTGAGTTTTAAATGAGTGAAACATATAAAGAACAAGTAAAGTTCTTTGATGACTACCTGGCACATAGAAAGGGCAATATAAACATTAGCCAGCTACGCTATTACTGTCACTACTCCATAGTAAAGTGGACCTGATAGGGTCCCTCTCTTATAGCTCAAGTGTGAAATTATTTTGGCTTAGATATCTGCTTCCTTGCAATTCAATATAGACAGTCCTGATTATAATGTTTTAAGACTTTTGGGAGAGTAAACAATTACATTCCTAGGCAAAAAGAGAAATGAGGTCATGTGTATTTCAAGGTGACAGCATGTTTTGAAAGACTTCCAGATGTGGAACATGGGTCTTGTAAGCCAATCAACAGTAGAGAGAAAATCTTCAATGTGTTCTGAATCACATTCTATTGACTAGCAGCAGATATTTTGTATAGCTGGAAGATGATGTCTGGAGTCCTCTCCAGGGGTCCCCTGGTACACTATCCACTGTTGACAAGTGCAGTATTACTAATGCACATTTGACCTGACCTTCACTTTTACTCACTTTGCCACTGCCAGTGTCTGACACCCACAGGTTCAGAACAGGCACTCTGGCAGAGTTTGCAAGTGCTGCCCTCTTCACATATATTCTTTCTGTGTATTGTAGTGCACCTCAGGACACGATTGCCATGGGCTTTCCTGACATCCTACATCATTCATTGCTAGAGAACCTTACCTAATTGGCTGGATCACATTAGGACAAACAGATCGCCTCAAAATCTAATAAATTGAAAGTAGAAAGTATAGATTTGTAACTTATGGGGAAATTTCTCTGTGTGTTTCTTCAATGAGTTCGTGGTCTAAATCTCTAACATTTTAGGTAGTTACTTTAGCTGAGGTACGATGAATAGGGTGAAATTCCTCAAAGCATCATTCATATCAAGTAGCTAGAGACATTTAAGCCAGTGGTACTGCGTCAGTGAGGGAGAAACCAAGGTCCCTGGGACTTTTGGCAGTCAGGGTGGGAGACACAGATGGATTCCTGACCCATGAAAACTGAAGCAGGGTTACGACTGAGGACTCACATCCTGAGACCGAGGGCCTAAGAAAGCAGCATGACAGAGTAGTGAGGGCTTCTGAAAAATGCCAAGGCACACATACTTGTAGTTTCAAAATGGCAGAGTGAAAACTGTATTTTCCTTTCTGTACTATAAAAGCAACTAGGAAACCTGGATACAGAAATACAAATGCCACTGTAATCAAAATGAAAAGCCACCATGTATGAGAGAGAGTGTCAAGCAAGGCAGTAAAGCCTGGGGTCTGAGGTGAATGGCCACTTTGATGGAACACAGAAATAGGCAGGCTGGCCATCCACAGAGAAGAAAGGCATGTGTGAAACAGTGTGCTGTAATTTATTTAACCAGTTCCATCTGGCAATGGACACTACAGTGTTGCAATGTCTATCATGATATCTAAGATATAGTTTTAGATTTCTTATTTAAAGAACGTGTGGTGCATAAGTATGTATTGCAACTATTTGATTGCATGCGTACATGTGTACCTAGGCCAGGGGTCAGCAAACTATAGCCCAGCTCAACATCTGCTTTGTTCATGAGGTTTTACTGGAACACAGACATTCATTTACAGACTATCCATGGCTGCTCTTACACTACTACAGCAGAAGTGAGTACCTGCAAAGAGACCGTATGGTCCTCTAAGCCCTAACTCTCTGGCCCTCTTCAGAAAATGTCTGCCAGCCTCTGACACAGGCGCCCCCTGGAAAAGTACACAAGAAACTGATCACCCCTCTTGAGTGGATCTGAGGGGACCAAAGTTGGGTGGGAGATTTACTTTCCATTGTCTATGCTTTATCACCCCTGAGTTTTGTACTGTGTTAACTACTTCAGGGAGAGAGGGAATGAAGGAAAGAATCACCAGGGTTATGGAAATCAGTGTTGTCTATACTGGCATTGTATGACATTTCCCTTCTGCTCTCCTTTTAGAGAAAATGAGCACAGGACAGACTGTACTTCTAGCAAGAGCAGTGAACTGCTGCACCTAAGGCCCAATGATAAAAAGCAGAGGAAGAGACCAAGCCTCTTTGATGTATTGAGAGGAAAGAGTATTGCATGCTGTCCTCACTCATATGAATGAATGATGAGGAACTTTGATTACAGTGAGCCCTTGACTTACGAACTCACTTCATTCCTGAGGACTGGCTGTAACTCAAGTTGGTCAATTGAAGGCTCAATTTTCTCTCTCCTGGATACAGGCAGATCTCAGTGTCCTTAGAGAGATATTGGCCTAGGATTTCTCAACGCCACAGAAGAAAGGACGTTGTAATGTTCCTTCCAGAACTCTTTAAGGGTTAAATCTATCTGAGACCATCTGGAAGTACAAGTGACTAGCATTCGGGTCATAACTCAAGATTTTGGTCATATTTTAAAACAAATTCTGGCTATAACCCCAATTGTTTGTATGTCAGGCTGGTCATAATTCTAGGGCCCACTATATAAGACAAGGGAGCGTTCAAGCAAAATTTTAAAAAATATCAAAGTATTTTTCATATTATATAACATTCTAAGATACTAGTTTCAGGAAAAAAAACTATAAAACAAAATTTTATTGAAAGTAACACTGTTCTTCCACTCAGGCTCAGTTCTAAAATGTTTAAAGATTTTAAAACTGTTTAAAGATTTTTTAATACCTCAATGCTCAGTTTTCAACCAAGGATTTTTTTAATGTACTGCTTTTAAAAATAATTTTTAACTAGTGAAGGCTCAAAAATGAATCTAGGTTAGTTTGTATTTGAGGCAGGGATTTTTTTAATTAAAAAAAATGAAAGAGACTTACCTCCATACTTAAGAAAAATGTTCTAAATCCAAACAACTTGCTTTTACTCATTTAATCCTATGTTAGTGTATCATCCAATATTTAATATTTAAGTCACATAGTGAAGATCAATAAAGTAATCATCTGAAGGCCAGTAGTATATGCTCTGATGCAGGTGAGCAAACACCAATTTATCTGTCCTTTGAATATTTAGTTTCTATACATTTCCATGTAGAGGGGCTGTCCCTAAATCCTTCCCTGAAGTCATTATGTATGACAATTTAGTATTACACCAGTTATATCTCACTAAAATGACAACCAAGCTTCTTCCAAAAGAATGTTCCAGGAATATGACAGATGATCTGAGACACATCCCCAAGCTCTGGGCAAAGGCAGAGTTGTGTGTCCTGCCTTATGTAGAGTCATGGCCAACCCACAGCTGCAGAGGTAAGGTCATACTGACCTTCTTGTAAGTTCCCCAGACTGCCACCAGCAGACTAAGCAAAGGTAAAACTTCCTCTGGGCAATGTAGCTCAGCTCCTGAGTGCTGGATCTCTGCCCTCCTACCCATCAGCTGAGCTCCTTGCTTCATGAACGATGTATATAGCAGCACAAGGCTGCACCGCAAACTCCCTAATGTGAATGCCTAACAGTATTTCCACATCCAGATTCTCATTCCTACTCTAGGGTTTTTATATGTATTTTCACCAATGGGAAGACAAACTGAGTCTCATGAAGATGCTAGTGTCATGAATCTGCCCCAAAGAGGGAAAGTGGTTTAAGAAATGTAATCATCTCCGCCCACACCCAACGGGGGCATCTCACGTAGGTTGAGACTCACCGTGTTAATCCTAGCCACATGACCCAGGTTGGGGACCAGTTGCTAGAAGGAGTCATATTGTCATTGGAGTCCAGGGCTGCTGTGCTGCTGCAGTCTTCCTGGGGCTCATGTTCTCTAACTTCCAGGGCTTTTAGTACCACTGAGGAGGATGTGCTTTTCAACAAGGCAACTGCCTCGCTCCGGCTGACCCCTATGAGTTCAACTCCATTCACATTCAACAAAATGTCACCTGGTGGCCAGAGAAGCAGAGCCATCCTTAGTGAGCGTGAACAGGAACTGCTCCTTAAAGTACAACAGGGCAGGGACCAACTGGAATGTGGTATGTGAAGAGGAAAAGGTGCACATCATTAGCCCTGCCACTGACATGAGGCTGACTTCTCACATAGCAAGTGGCAAGCAGTGTGAGCATTCCTAGGTGATTCTAAGTCTTGTTTGGGGTTTTCTAAAGCATACCTACTGTTGTTTGGCTCTTACCTTAAAAAATAACGAAGACAAAAGAGCCTTGTTCACTAATAAAAGCTACTTTTCTGCTCCTTGTCTCCTATTTTTAGCCCAAAGGGGGAAGCACTTGGCAAAAAGCATTTGCACAGAATCTGGCATGTACTAAGCATCCGATAAATGTGGATTGAAGATTGAAGAAGAAACTACCAGTGCAGGTGTCTAAAAGGAGTCCAGAGTAGTTAAGAGAAATGAGCCTGGACCTGTGCTCTCAAGTTGCTGCAAAGAAGCTGTTCACTGCATTTCTATTCTATGCACAGCTATTGTTAGTTAAGCACCTACAAAGGGCAGGAGTGTTTCCATACATTATATGCAGCAATCCTCTAGCTCATGTTCTCATGCTGTTTTTTTTTTTTTTTTTTTTTTTTTTTTTGTCAGAGATCAAACTCAGGACCTTGTGCTTGTGAGGAAGATGCTGGCACTACTGAGCTGAATCCCAGACTCAGTCACGTTCTCTTAAGTCACTTCTTGTATCTCATCATTTCCTACCCAGGTATTTATGGAAAAGCAAGAGAATTAAAATATATACCTCCCTACCCTCATTTTTTATTGTCTTATCTCACTCCTGTTTTCCTGCCTCTGCACATTATCTTTTTCACACAGAATAAAAATATCAGGAAAGAAAGGAGCAAAAAGAACAGCCTGGACTCCTTGCTGACTTAAAAAAGAAGCACCCTTGGGTTGGCTTGCTATATCTCTTATGCCCCACCCTCCCTGTAGTTCATAAGGGCAAGGTACTGGGCAAGGGTATTTTACAAAATAAAGTAAAAAAAAAAATATGCACACACACATATTGCTATAGGTTTGTGATACATAATAGTCATCTTGGGAAACTGGTAAATATACATATTTTATCTCTTTAACCATATTCTTTAAGAGACATGATTATGCACTTCAGCTGCCCCTTCATATATGCTGATACTTTTAAGGGTACATATTTCTAGAGGTAAACTGGATACCACCTTCCTTCATTTAAGATAGCCAGAAAATGTATGATTAAAAGAATTAATCACTTTTTACCAATGGTAGAGTACCCCGTATGGTATTTACTTACACTGAATCAAAATCTATCAAATATTTTTTTCCTATCCAACCCACAAAATGGAACAGCTCATGAATTAATTTCATGACTGGGTCAATTCAGCAAAGAGCCAGTTAAAATGTGTGGAACGAAATTATGTCAGAGAGGCAATTTGCTCATAACTGTAGCAGCTCCCTACTAATTTCTGGAGAAGTCCGAAGGTTCTAGCTTTACTAGCCGGCAAGCTGGCGCACATCATGCCACATAACCAAACCTGGTCTATCAATCATATTCAAACTAATCATGGTCAGTGGGTAACACATGTCCTGGCTCGATCACTCTCACATTCTCTTGTTAATTCTGGAAAGTTACCTAAACCAACAACCTGCTAATTCTTCTTAATACTCTGTCACTTCAGTATCTTAACTCTTTTTCTTTTTACCTGTTTTTATTCTTCCATCTCTGCTTATGACTCCTCCAGGTTCAATGCTGATGACATAGATAGGCAAGTCCCATTCCCTATGTGAGGCTCCCCCTGCAACGGTCATGCCAAGAGATTCGCTGGGGTCTTTTCGGACACTTACCACCTTCTCATGACAGGCTACTGCTGGACGGAGAGGCTGAAGACAAAAAAAACATGTCACATGTATTCATAATTAGATTTTTTTTTACATGCAAAAGTGACCAACATTGCATAAATTGTCCAAATTGTATCATATAGTGGCCCATGATATCACAGAGAAGTCTACACAGAGACAACCTCCCCCCAAAACAGAGTTACATTATCCCAAATTCTATCGGCTTGGAGAAAGTTTATATTTCAAAAGTAAATAGTGAGGGGCTGGGGATCTAGCTCAGTGGTTCACCCACCTGCCTTGCAAGTGCAAGGATCCGAGTTTGATCCCTGGTACCAAAATAAAAAGTAAATAGTGAAAACAGAGGGAGTAATGGTTTGGAGACCATGGGAAAAATCTGAAAAAAATCATATAAAGTGAACTGTTTCCAAAACTTGTCAGGTGAGTCATCTTCTTCTTCTTTGTTGTCTTTGTCTTCTCCTCCGCCTCCTCCTCCTTCTCCTTCTCCCCCCACTCCTTCTTTTTTTTTTTGGTACCAGGGATCAAACTCGGGTCTGTGCACTTGCCAGGCAGGCGGCAGACCACTGAGCTAAATCCCCTTCCCTAGTCTCCTATTTTTGATGGTAGCAAGTCAACATTTCAAGAACCTTTCATGAATATCAGGATTTTTTCCAAAGTTAAAAAAGTGCCCCCATTTTGTATCGCATAACTGTTTTTCACACTCATCAAACAGACTTACCTTGCTAAACAAAGAGATGTTTACCTGAGGACTGAGGGAGTCAATACAATGACTGCGATACCTCAAATAAGAAAGGAATATGTCCATGTCTCCTTTGTCTCTGATGGCCACTTGCTTTCAGACCCACCAGAGGGAGATCCATGCTAGTGATGGAAGATTCAAGCCCTCTGTAAATCCTTTACACCCCATTTTGTCCAACTTGCAGAGGAAGAAAGTGTGGCAGAGGTAATCTTTTATTTTTTTCTGCCTGCTGCCTACTTTATAGACCTCAAAATGTTCCCCAATGCTTAATGACAACATGTAATGAAACAGTTCGTGCTTATTTAAAAACGTAACAGGGAGCCAGTAATTATCATTTAAGTTACACAAAATATTTTTTTTAAATACTTCCTTTGGATTTTTGAAATAGAACATGTCAGACATCTGATAAGGTATAAGGAATAATACAATGCCCTACCCATGTACCCTGCCACTCAATATCAGAAATAAAAGTTCTGAGTATGATTAAAACACCTCTATGACTTCTCTCTGGCCACTTTCTCTTTTCTCTCTCACAGAGGTAACCACTCACCTAAACATGGTGCCTATTATCTCTTCACTTTTCAACTGGACAAAGCTTTTTTCTATCTCACAAACTCTGACTTGCCTTCTTCCGTATTTTTTTGAATCATTTAAACTCCTATTTGCAAAATGCCACATTGTTTCTTTTATCAAACAAAACTTTGGTCAAAACATAAAAAATGAAACCATTAAACAGATATGTATTATTTTACTTTAAATATGCCACTTTAAAAAAATAAGGGCACTTTAGGAAGCAGCTAGAACCATATGGCCCGGGAATAGAACAGTGCTAGAAGCACTTGCTTAGTATGTGCAAGGCTCTGGCTGGAATTTCATTCCCAGCACTAGAATGAAATAAAATAAAATAAAATCACATGGTGTCAGATAGAAGTATAAATGAAAATAATGACAGCTTTCCAGTAGGCCAGTATGCGTTTCCAGGAATTCAGGTACAGGGGGTTGCAGCAAAAACCTGATCAGATCCTCTTGGCCTTCTCATGACTCACCATAGGCATGGGTAGGTGAAAGGAATTAAAGACCAGTGTGGTGGAGGCCTCATTTCAAAAAAATTAATGAACTAGAATATAACAGTCTGTGTCATTCTACTAAGATTAATTAGATAAAAACTTTAAGCAAATACCCTAGTTTTTCATTAAGAAAGACCGTGGGTTTAAACATATTAGTGGTATTTATTAGCAAGAAGAGATCAGGAAGTCCTTATCTAGAAAGTGTTTTAGCAGTACTTAGTCTGTCTAGGTCAATCATTACAAATAAACATGGAATTTATGGACTTATGGGGCATAGCTGGCTAGAGAATGAGGCGGGGGGTGTAATGTTGTAGAATCTGACGGAGTATAAAGCAGTGATGCTCCAAAATTTAAATTTTGAGAACTGCTTCTGCACACATTACTCAAACACTAAACTTGTGGCCTAATGTGAAAGGAAAGGAGCATTCCCTATTCTCCACTGCAAGAAAAATGGGATACATAAGATTTTTTTTTTTAGTTACAAATGATGGGATGAAATCAGATACCAGGGGAAATGACTGATAGAAGCTTATTGTCATCATGCTAAGTTATCAAGCCAAGGCTACTAGACTCTGAATTTGGACTGAACAAGGTTGGTGTTGTGTAGACACCACACATGAAGAGGTTAAGGCACTGTCTCTAATAGAGGCTACACATAGCAGTAAAATTAAGCTGAGTTGCCATTTTTGAAGAGACACTGAAACAGGTGGCTTAAAGGTTGGATTCTACCCATACGTGTTCTGCCTGATCCAGTGCTAAAATTTTTTCTGAATTTGAATCCTTAAGACAGAAAATGGTGCTCTCTGGCTTGCCCCAATCCCCACCCCTCCCTAGAGTCCCATGAATTTCAAAGGTTTATATCATCTTCCTAGGCTCTTCTGTAAATGCAAACCTATTAAAAGTAGTGATGAAATTAGTATTTTAATTTCCAGGCAAATTGGGAAACTAAAAAAACCAGAAACCAAGCAAACCGCTTGTTTCATTTCAAAGTGAATGGAAAACAGTCTTTGAACAGAATGATTCTTGGAAAAACATAACATGTATTTGGCTAGAAATTAGGTCCCCATATGAGATCTGCAAGATCAGTTTTCAAAACTCTCCCAACACCTCCCTAGCATATACTTGGAGGCAAGACACCTGTTATCTCACTAAGTCTGAAGATGGGACTTAGGTCTTCTAGTTCTGTAAGTCAAATAGTTTCCATAAGTGACAAAGTCCAGAGATGATTATATGTTAAAGTCTGCATCCTTCCCAAGAAATTGTTCCTTGCAGGAGCAGCGGACATGTCCCATCTGGGCCTTACCTTGGCAGAGATGTTCTTGTCCCCTGGACACAGGGACTGGTTGCCATTGAGAGTCCAGCTGACTTCTGGAAAGATGTCTAGGCTCTGCTGTTGAACTCGGCGGGACACAACAAGGTGAACATGCCTTTCACTGGCCTGTATGAGAAGACACAGGCATCAGCTACTCTCAGAGATTTCATGCATAGATGTGACTGATATCATTTCTAGTATTTTTTTATGTCAGTTCTCATCTTGTAATTTGGCAAAAGCATGAGAAATGTTTCCTTTAACCCTGAGAAAGATAGTAAATATTTCTCCAAGGAAAGGTTTGACTCAGACAAATCTTGTAAGAGACACCATAAGATGTTGCCAATTATTTTTAATAGAGGGCTTCATTGTAAACTGGCCCCATCTGAAGGCCTTTGTGGTTGGAATAAGGTGCCCACCATACATGAGTAACCCAGAACAAAAATTCCAAGATCAAAGGTAAACAGTAAAGAAAAGAAAGGGATCCAGGGGTTTTGGCACCTGTCTCACAAGCTCAAGGTCCCACGTTCAATCCCTGGTACAAAAAAAAAAAAAAAAAAAAAAAAAAAAAAGGAAGGGAAGGGAAGTCCTGTGTCTGACAATTTGAAACTTTCAGACACTGGAAAGGTTGAACTCTTTAAAACACAGGGATGACTTTAGGTTCTAACATACTAACACAGCCCTTTAAAAGTTCATTGTCTTGATCTTTTATTTGCATGCAACTACAAATAAGACTGGCTACTAGTAGTACTCTCTTCATGTATATTGCTACTTGAGGAGAATATTCAGAATAGCATGTATATTGCTTGTTGGTAAGGTTGATTCCACGCAATAAATTTATAAATTGACTCTGTGCCACCAGTCAGTTTCATGTACATCTGACAGTGAGGGTCATTATTCCAGTCTTGTTGATCACTGAGGTTTCAGCCTTCCCCAAAGCCCCCTGATGGCCAAACTGAGGTGGCCAACTGACCTCCCCTACCACCTTAGTGGAAGTTGATAATAGGGCTGTGGCTACATTAGATTAGAAAGACTAGGTTTGGGGACAAGGAAGACAGAGAATAGAGAAATAAGATCTAGTGGTTCATCTCTTCATCCCATCGTTTGACCACTCACCACCACAGCCAAGATGGATACTGACCTGCTTGCCTCCTTCCTTCACAGGTATGGTTATGGAAAAGTCATGCCACCAAGGGCAGGGATGGAAAGTACCTTTTCTTTATTAGCTCAGATAACAGGAGTTGAAGTCTTTACTTTCTACCTGCAATAGTCTGAATGTTTGTATCCTCTCTCAAAATTCGTATTTTGAAATCACAAACACAAAGTGATGATATAAACAGGATGGGCTTTTAGGGAATGATTAGGTACAGAGGGCCGAGTCCACAAGAATGAAGGGATTTGTTTGCCTTTCCACCCCATGAGGACACAAGAAGACACCACCTATAAGACAGGCCATTCCCAGACACTGAATCTTCCAGCATCTTGATGTTTAGAACTGTGAGAAATAAATTTCTGTTGTTTTTAAGTCACCCACTTTAGCATACTTTGTTATAGCAGCTAAAATGGACTAAGATACTGCCTCTCTTAGGTTTCTCTCTGGAGCACACAACTCACTTTCCCTCTCAGGAGTGACTACCTTGTTTCTAAAACTGGAAGGAAAAAGAACCCCGAATCAGATCCCTGTGGTTGTGCAACACAGATGAGCCCAAATCTTCATGACTTTGCATTCTTCTATTAATAAATAACTATTTGCAGAGGGCATAAGTTTGATGGTCATAAATGAGATAAATGTTTTAAGACAACTGATAAATTGCAATAAAGGCATTTATTGTAAATTTCATGATGGCTGGCTAGTTGGGTTAATTTATTTCAGAGAAGTTTAGAAAATCCTGCCAAGCAGGGCCCAGAAAGAAAGTCTGAGTTCTTCTCCCATTTTCCATCATGTACAGCTCAGTCATTATGCCTGACATCTCCAGTAATTGCTCATGTGCCCTTCCTTTGCTAGTATATCTTGCACTGCCTGTGTCATATAGAAGCCTGTGTCAGAAGAGAACAGAAATAACTAGCCCAGGAAATAATCACGAATAATCTGATATGCAAAACTATGGTACTAGCCAACTACATTCAATTCTTGGAAAATAATTTTATAATAATTATGCTTCTTTGTACTGCAAGCCTCATTTATCTTGATAAAGTTATCTTTGGGAACTCTGAAGCAAAAATCACTAAAAGATAAGAAGCAGCAGGCATTTAGGTCAAAAACTTCAATCACAAAGCCTGAATTCGCTTTTATCTTTGGGAAAACTTATGTTTTGAAGACTCTCAGCTGCGTGTTTGTCTCAGGGCCTGCATACTGTATCACATTCATCTTGGACAAGGAGCAGAGTGAATGATCCAAGTACCTCAGAAGAACTGAGAACATTTAAGACTTTCATATCAGGTCAACTTGCCAGGCAAAATCCAAATGGCCAAGGAGAAGCCTGCAAGAGCTATTTAATTCACATTTTTTAGCACAAATTTCTTACTGGATTTTTGAATGTTGGCTATGGTAGGAAGTTGTTGGCAGGACTACCACTCCAATAAATAATTCTGGTATCAATTTACTTGGAAATAAGTTCTCTGCAAGGCTGGATCTGTGGCTCATACCAGCCACCTTGTAAATTGCTCACAAGGAGAGTCTATTTGATGTACTTTCTTTCATAGCGTTTAAAGACATAAGGTGGAAAATGGACTAATGTGTTTGTCCTGGCTCTCACTTCACCAACAGCTGCATACAGGGTAGTGAAATAGTCCCTGGCACAGAGGCTGTCTTTCCACTGGTGTGAATGTGGTAGGGTGTGAGAAGGGAGCAAGAATGAAGGAGAGAGAATGACTTCTTATTTCATACTCACATCATGTAGCCAGGAAGATGGGTACAGCAGACCTGGCATTTTAATGACAAATAGTGGCTGAGGTTTAGTAATAACTACAGGCAGAACAGAAGTTGACACAGCACCTGTACATTAAGGGATACACTTCTCAACTAGCCAAAGGTTTCACTATTCATTTGTAAAGGAGGACTGGAGGCAGACTGGTGCAACCACTATGGAAATCAATATGGAGATACCTCAAAGAGCTAGGTCTAGAGGTTCCATTTGACCCAGCCATCCCTCTGCTGGGTATCTTTCCAAAAGAATTAAAAGAATCATACCACCGTGATATATGCACACCCATGTTTATAGTGGCATAGTATGTAATAGCTAAAACTTGGAAACAGCCATTTGCCCATCAGTTGGAGACTGGATAAAGAAGATGTGGGTTTTCTATAAAATGGAATACTACTCAGCCATAAATAATGAGAAACTAGAGTCATTCATAGGAAAATGGATGCATATTGAGGCCATACTCTTAAGTGAAATAAATGTCATACATGTGTAAATACTGAATAGTTTCTTTGGTATGAAAAACTATAATTGTAAATAAGATCACAATGGTATAATTGACAATGTATTATAGGAAGAAAAGGGCTAAAGGTGTAGGGGAAGTGGGAAGGGTAGGGGAAAGGAAATAAGGCAAAAGAAAAAAATATGAGAAAATGAAAAAAATGGAAATAAAGTTTTTTTAAATAGGAAAGGAAGGAGAGGGTGAAGGGAGTGCAGAAGTATGGGGAAAAAAATGAGAACCAAGACCTGTCATGTAAAGGTACAAGATCCCAATGATGAATGTAACTGTACTGTACACTTAAAATACACCAATAAACTGAATGAGAAAAAAAAGGAGGATTGGAATTAAGCCAAATGTGGTTCTTCTTCCTTTTGGATACAGGTACATCCTTTAAGGTTTAGTGAAATGCATCTAATGCAGGTGGATCACTGAATGCATTTCTTTTTTCTTTCTGTTTTTTTTTTTTTGGTACTGGGGATCAAACTTGGGACCTTGCACTTGCAAGGCAGGTATTGGCACCACTGAGCTAAATCCCTGGCCCTTGGATGTGCTTCTTGCACTAACTTTATAAACTCTCAAGTTAAGAGTCACCACTTTCCCTCCACAATGCTGCAGGGCATTGTTCTACACAGGAACCTGAAATGGGGGAAACTCCACATAGACTGTTGGGCATAAGACTGTCTTACTCAGACTAGGTAGGCCATAGATACAACTTCCTTACAGAATATTCCAGGTCCACAGAAGATCCATATTGATTGGGTGACATTTTAATGTGGTCAGGTGAGATCTGGAGTGGGATTTATAATATTAGCTGCCTAACATTCCATCTGTTAATTATCAGAGGCCTTAATGATCATCTCTTTAAATAACAGGTTCATTCTGCATTCCCCAATGGCATCTTTTCAAAACATCCCAGGATGAGGCAGTGTGGCTTTAACTGATTTTCAATACATACTTGAGAGAATGGGACTTTCTATGCTGTCTGGCTGCCCCATTTTAGCTTCCCTTCCAGAAGTTGTTCAGTGATCATTCTCAGTTCATCCATCTGTGGTCAAAAAGCCCCAGGGAATTCTGGAACACTGGTCCCATCAAATTAGAAAGTCACAGATACTCAAGAGATGTCAGAAATCATCTCATTCAACATTTTCTCTATAGCCCATGGTTCAATTCTTCAACATCATTGCCTTGATGTTATCTAGCTCATGCATCAGTGCCCCAACGACAGGAAGCTCACTATGTCCCAAAGTAGCACATGCCAGTTTTAACAGCACTAATTAGCAAGTTTATCTCTGGGTTGAATTGAACTTACTTGCTCATTGGTTATAGTTATGACCAACCTTGTTCAAAGATGACTCTCCTTGTCCTCCCTTAGGTCCTTTTCTTTCCAGGTCAACTACTTGTCTTTTACGAACTATTTCATGTTTTCAAGTCACCTTAAATACTTTAACTCTGGCCTCACTCTAATAAAGTTGGGTGGGCATGGTTGTGTAGAATTGGACCCAGATGATGAGTGCTGGTCTGCCCAGCACAACAGAGTCTTTTTGCTGATGAACCAGCCACACAAGGAATGTCACCGATGGAATTCTCATTGCTGCTTCACACAAGTAGAGAGGATCATCTTTATGTTTTATGGGGCCAAGAACTCCATGGAGGTCTGTTTTCATCATTACTGCTCTAACTGAAAGACAGGTTATCAGTCTGCACTA